AGGTCAAGTACATTTGCCTCAATACTTAATGGTGATTATTAGCGAAAGTTTACGCATGAGTTTCACTCCTTCCGAGGATAATCTTCTTTCCGCTCCCTTGATTTTTCTTAGAATACATGAAAAATACCCGCAACAGCAGCCCCGTTCGATTTAACGGTTTGGTCACATAAAAAAAAATTATTCCAATAAGTTTCATCTTCTTCCGAATAATGGTCTGCTTAGTGCAGGGTAGACTGTTGCAGCGGAGCCTTGGTGGGTAGTGGGGTACTGCCGTGCTAAGGAAAAACATCTTATGAACACTCGGATGTTGCCAAATTTCATCTAATTTTCATCAAAACGTATAAATGCGTGAAATTTCCCTTGACTTAAAAAATTAGAAAAATGTAATAGTCATTTAATCTAGAATACTTGATCATACTGAGAGGAAGTATTCGTAGCTTTACTGGTGAATACATGTTTTATCCGTGGAGATTTGGTAGCATTCGAATAGTCATACGACGTTATTTCTTAGCAGGGTAGGATCGAGGTGAAGATAATGAAAATTGAAGATGGGGGAAGGGAGTATAATCCGTGGATGTATCGGCTAAATGAGCCTATACTTTGTTCCTGTTAGTGCAGTTTATTGAATTTCAGAGCGACGGTATCATCCAATGTTGTTCTGAGCACTGAGATAATCTCTAAAAATTAATATTCATGATGGTGGCAAATTAATGTAAATTTTTTCAGGTAAAATGTCTTAACTGTTTTTTGCTTGCCCGCATTTGACCATGTGAATCTTAAAATTGTCTGATTAAACACTGAACTGAGACCAGGTTCCAGGGGAAGTAACTTAGTCAACCGAGAAAATTACCCCCGACCTCCTTGATTACCGATCTGCGTTCTACTTTGCTCAAGGCATGCTGTACCTCTTTTCTTGTTCATCTAATATTACTGCGTTTTTTTTTTTTAATCTCTAATTTAAATGAAGTTATGAGAGGGCTTGTAACTGTGCTGCCAGATTTGCTACTCATTGGCTCTTATTCTATGGTGAAAGGCTATTTGAAACGAGATGAGCGCTGACAAATTATGTGAAGAATCATACAATTTTTCGTAAATCCTTCCGGCTGATACTTGGAAATTGAAGTACAATCCCTTCCTTCGAATACCTACATAAATATGGGTTAATTGAATAAGCTATGCAGTATGGCATGTAATAGTGCATGTAATAGTATGGCTTGAAGCTATGAGATTCGAAAAGAGAAAAGGAGAATGTCCCTTCGTGACTTTTCAAGCCGATTAATGAAAAACTGGCTAAAGTTTCTTTTCCAGGTGACTTGTTTGAAAATCCGGTACGAGATTGATAGAAAAATTGTCTGAATAAAGAGAGGAGATAAGCTATGATGCCAAATGCTGAGAGAAATATGACTAATCTTCAGCAACGAAAATGCTGAAAGTTTACCGTTTATTACGCAGAAGTATAGAAAGGAGAGTCCTCCTCTTTTAAAAAGTCAGCCTTTTCCCTGTGTATTCTTGAGAAACCATATTCACAAATAAAGCTGATTAATGCTAAGCTCTGAATCAGCTTAATTTAAATTACCGAACAGGTATGAAACAGGTATGAACTGTATGAAACAATGCTTTCATACAGGCAGTTTGACTCATGAATTCTCATCAAAATTTTGTGCTAAGAATTATTCACGTAATTAACAATTTAGAGCAACTCATCAATACCAAGCTACAGATAATTTTCGTGTTCTTCAATTCAAACGTTCCTCTCGTTGAATAAAATCAGCGTTTACTTTGATCAACTCAATCGCAAGATATTAATTACTTTTAAAGTCAATGTATTTTTATTTTTAACAAACCAAAAGTCCGAATGAGGCTGATTTTTGTAAAATCCAACATGAGACATTCGTAATCTCCAAACTTATGAAGCCATGACTCAGCGATAATCATTCTGCCTCTTTATGTATTACTAGCTTTATGTATTAATAGCCTCAGTATTATATATGCTTTACAAATTTAAGCTATTAAAACAAATAAAAATAACTATAAAAATAAATATAATTAAAATTGCAGTTTTCAGACTAATTTGGTTTGTTTTAAATAAAAGCTGTGTTCCTGTATAGATAGACCTAATTAATAGGTTTGTCTGTTTAAATACTATTCCTTTTTCTGTCGTTTTTAACATGGCAATATTTGGGCTATAAATGTCATCTATAAGTGTTATCTTGGGTTATAAGTGTTATCTGCATTTGCCTGTGTATGGAACATTGGAATTTTTTTAGATCAACTGAAAACGTCTTTATACCACGCGGGGATTTAATTTGAAAAAATATGAATTTTGCAAGAGAATAGTTTTCTAAACCAAATATGTAAGTAAAGGAGAATATGTGATGTAATGTTTGAATTTGGATCCTTTGGAAGCTGGATATTGTAGTCTTTTGGAGCTATATATCGACGGTGAAACTACCAAACCACGTATCTCGGTTTGCGACGTCGCAGACTTCCTGTCATACTTCATTTTTTAAATAAAAAACTACTTAACGTCCAGTCTTGAAAATTTCTGTGATTTTTCCTCTTCGTGCGGAGAAAATTCTGTGAAAATTTCAAGGAATGATATTGATTTGGTCTACTTCAAAAAAATAAAATGCGAGCGTAGATTTTTAAACACCGCAAACGAGAAACGTGGTTTGGTAGTTTCACCGTCGATATGTAGTTAGATTTTCGCCCCCTCTCTCTTTGGAGGGACTAAAGCTTGAGGCACCCTTTACTTAAATCTATCTGTAAGTGTTCTCTCCCCAGCGACAAGGAGTATTTCATCTTGATAGAAACATCGAATGATTTGTAGCGATTTGGCAATATAAGAAAGGCGAACTCGTGGCTGTGAGTTCACCGAGCGATCAACTTCTCATCTTTCCTGGCACTTCTAATCATTGAGCGGTTAATAAGTTTATTCACGGCTACTTAAACCCACTGATATCCTCACGATCTTAACTTTTCGATCCTACTTCGCTGCGTCTAAACTTCCGAGCCCAATACTTTCGATCAGGCGCAGTAATAATTATCGAGAGGATTACAAACTCGTCTTTAGATTTAAGCTATCGTCGATTCCATAAGTCATCAGAGTCTTTATTTGGAGCATGAGACAAATATCATCGACTTACCTATATCTTCTAAGCTGATTCACTCCGATCCTATTGCATTACGAGGCTATTTTTGGAATAACCACTCTTCTATTCGAAGAAAATAGCATCATGTGAAATTTTGATGAGTAGATAGGCCCCTGAGTTTATGCGGATGAACACCTGCAAAAAAAATTGACCCACTAAGCAGTATTTTAACATATTTTAGTTTTGACGTAGAGCGCGATTTGCAAGACGAATAATGACTGAAAGTAACTCCTCAACAAATATATCAATTTTTTCGATGCAAAAATTCAAACTTCCCGCTCTTGAGAAGAACAATCATCTACTCGAGTCATATCGTACATTGTTTCTCATGAGCGGGGAGTTCATATTCGTAACCGATGCTAAATAACACCGTTATTATTTTGGTCCGACTTTCAACGTGATTTTCAACAACATTGGTCGCTCAAAACGTATTTTGAAGAGGAAACATGTATCAGATTGCTTTTATGCATATTTCGTCTAGTGGTCTACTGATGATAAAGTCAGGCGAGTAATTGCCGCACGAGTGGTCTCCATGGTCTGTGTATATTTATAATTAATTCAATCATTTCTTTTTTTTTCAATTTGATTAAACACTCAAATGCATTCCTTCGTGCAACGACGACGTATGAATGCAATGAGTTACAAATTTTGCTGTCGCGAGCGAAAGAAGTTGAAGGCGCGATGGCTTTTTCAATGGTAGGTCTGGATACAACTATTCGTGTTCTCAGGATATCCGTGTTGCATACACGAAAAATTGCGGGCGCTTCGGCTTTCTCAAGCACAATGTATAACTGCGGTTCTAAGTTCTCAGAGGTTTCCTAATTTTGCTTTTGCGATCGCGTTTACCATGAAGTCTTCGAAATTTGGATGAATCGAGTAGCACCATGACAGCGTTGCCAACTGCTGCAAATTATTCACCAAAAACATCCACAAAGGCATCGTAGACGCTTACAATCAATTATATTTCCGCAATTTGCACTTTTCTGCTACGCTGTAATAGTCCTAAAAGACCCATTCAAATGCCCAGACTTTCATGGTAAACACGATTGCAAATGTAACTGAGGGAACACTTAGGAGCTCACAACCGCGGGCATACGTTGTGCTTGCGAGAACCGAAGCGCCCGCATTTTTTTGTGTATGCAATACGGACCGCCCGCGAACATGAATAGTTGTATCCAGACCTTGCATTGAGAAAGCCGTTGCTCCTTCGGTTTCTACCGCGGGTGCTTCGGCTTCCTCAAACACAAGACAACGTATGTTAGCGGTTGTTAGCTCTCAAGGGTTTTCTATATACGTTGCATTTACAATTGTGTTTACCATGAAATCCTCGAAATTTGGATCAGTCTAGTACCTTGTCTAGTGATCATTGACTCCTTTTAATCCTACACGCTAAAGCGTTAGAAGCCGTACACTGAAAAAAAAATCTCGGTGTATTTACTAAGAAAAGAGTAAAATTACCAAGAATTCAGGGTTCTATTTGATCCCAGTTTTTTCTTGGTAAAATTACCATTTATGGAATTGGTAATTTTACCGAGAATCTCGGTAAAATTATTGAACTTTCTCGGTAATTTTACTGGACCTTGGTAAAAACGCCAATATTTTTTATCGACTGTGGCAGAATTACCGAGATAAAATGGCAAAGTTACCGGGAATTGATTACCAATAAAAGTGGTATTCTTACCTGAAAAAACAGTAAAAATACCGGTTTTTAGGTAGGCTTACCAGTCTGTCTTGGTATAATTACCAATAATTGGTAAAAAAAGTGAGATGGTAAAGGTACCAACTGACCTTGGTAAAAACGCAGTGAATTTTTTTTCAGTGTAGTGATACAGTTGATGATCATTTTAGTTTCAGGGGTGCCGGTGGGAAATAGCACGAAGACGTCGCAATTTTCTGGTGCAGGTATGTCGCCGTTTGGAGTCACGCAAGTCAAGTATCGGCAAGATTCATCCGACACCGTCAGCTGTCTCGAGCCTGATCCTGACGACGAAGATTCATCGAAAAGTAAGAGCACTGCTAGTTTCCAAAGTTTCAAAAATTAAACATGGCTTAGCGCTCAAAGGAGCTTTAATGCAGCGAATTCCACTTGGGGCATGATTTTCGGGAGATACTGGAGTTGATGAGTTTCATTCTCGGTTAGGAGATCAAATCATTGATCAAAGCAATTCCGATCGAGCGCCATCAGACGTGTCAGAACAGCCGGAGCACAACCTCAAATTTTGAAGAGTAAAATGATTAGGCACTAACAGTGGCGGATCAAGAAATTTGGCAACACTGGATTTCCTCCATTTAAACCTATGCTAAATAATCAATTCTTGTCAGAGCACCTGGTCCCGCCAGGAATCGATACATTTCAATAGGTTTAAATTGAGAAAATACAATGTTGCCAATTTGCTGGATCCGCCAATGGGCACTAATGAATTAGAGACATGAATTTATGTGCTGCTAAGTTCATTTTTGAGTGATCACCTCTGAAAATTTATAAACAAAACTACTTTTACAGGCTGAAATTGACTGATTAAACACTTCCGGTGGGCCAATACGGTCTAAATGAAACTATGAAATAAGAAATATTCTATCGATAGACAGAGGATACTCTTTTAGTATTCTCGGATAGAAAATGTATTATATGTCCAATAATTTTTTAACATACACATAATTTCGGATTTTTCAAGGACAAACTCCAGTTTTACCACCAAAATTTCTAAAAATAACACTCATATCCTATCTGAGAGCGTCGCAAAATCCCAAAATACCGATCATCGTCGATTAATATTAATTATTTACGGGCTTTTCAGGAGATATGGAGGTGCGTCTGATGTATGATGATAAGTACGAGTCGTTCGTGATTTTAGACAATGAGTTGGTTTTCGATAAAGTTGGCTCCAACGGTGGCCCAGACGGGCGGGAGACTTGGGAGAGTAACGCAGATTTTCTCCTGTCAATAATCGGCTTCGCGGTGGATCTTGCTAACGTCTGGCGGTTCCCATATTTGTGCTACAAAAACGGAGGTGGTGAGTACTCCTTAACTAACTACCCTAAGATTTAAATAGTCTTGTGAATCCCTAGGTTTGTACACTGGAAAAAAAGGATTGCTAATACACCGATTTAGGGTGGAGCAAAATTTGCTTCACTTCGTAAAGCTTTCTTATCCGTGCACGGTGTTGAATCAAGTGAACGACTAGCACGAATTGCTACACCGATTTGCTACATCTGCACGCCTTCATGCAGTTAATCTTGCATCGAGTGGCTTGGAAGTGTAACTGCATTTTTTGGTATTGGTACTTTGCGAACAGTAAAAATAGCTCAAAAGTTAGGCTGAAATAGCGGAATACACGGAAAAATAGCGATATTTACGGAAGAATAACTAAAAAGGTAACAGGCTTAGCTTTTCAGAGAGCAAAATCACCTACACGCGTGTGTGTAAGTTAGCTGAAATTTGTGTAGCGATTTTACCTGCATGGTTTGCACGTTCATTTTTTAGCTACACTATGCCATGAAATACCCGCGTGCACGGCAATTTCAGCAATATTTTTTTTTCAGTGTAGGAAAAAACCTGATCACTCGAATTCATTCAAACTTCGTGTAAAAATTGAGTTGGAATAACAAAAACCAGCGAGTATTTCTCGTTACCTGAGGGTATTATCCCCGAGTACTTGTTAGAAACGTTTTGAAGGCAGCAAAAATAAGCGAGAAGGGATAAAACCACGATTTCCCTGTTTTTGATGCCAAATAAATGGAGTAAAAGGTTGGATGTGATCACGAGTTTCCAAAAAATAATCTAGTTGCATAGAAATAGAATACAAGTAATAAAAAAAAAAAAATGCATGCAGTTTAAATTCCAACATCGTAGCAATGACATATTCAAAATGTATAGGTTTCTACTTTCCACTTATCGTCTACAAAATTATGAAAAGAAGCGCACATTTTCCACAAAAAATGTTTTAGTATCCATGTTAAAGAAAAAATAACAACTCTCACCTATTAGGTATAGCGAGATATCCATATTTTGCATGTATTTTTAATTTTATTGTTTGTCGAACATACCAGGTGCTTTCCTGGTGCCTTATACGTTGATGCTGGTTTTCGGTGCCCTACCATTGTTTTATATGGAGCTGAGTCTGGGACAGTACAGCCGTCAAGGTCCTATCAGTGTATGGAGGATATGTCCGTTGTTCAAAGGTATAAAAATGTCTGTTTACTCCACAATTTGATTATAGAGATATGTATCAGGTTTTTCAATATTTTTCTTGTTCTGAGATCATGCATCAAGTTACACAAAACAATCTATGGAAGAATCGAGTACAGAGAATGTGGTCACCCAGAAATACTGCAATCGGGCCCCCACCCTCTGTTACGTAGCTCATAAAATAACTGAAGATAAAAATATAAAACGGGTAATTTTTACGAGTTTGGAAGTTATACGTGATATCACTCGCGATGAAGTCGGAATTAATCGGAATTAAAGGGTTTTTCGGAGGAAACTCGTGCTTAAAGAGAAAAAGTAGGAATGCACTGGATTTTTTAGTAATTCTCTTGAAAAAACAATAAACACACTAAAATACAAAAAACAAATGGGTATACAAGGCTAGAGGAGACTTAAAACAACCAGGACGTTTCGGGCCAATTAGTTTATAGCTTCTGTTCCAGTCGAGAATGGGCCCGCAATGGGCAAGTAGGTAATTGGCCAGAAACGTCCTGGTTGTTTCATATCTCCTCTAGCCTTGTACACCCATTTGTTTTTTGTATTTTAAGTGTGTTTTTATTGTTGTCTGCATTCGGGCTATTGTGTCTCTCGCTCTCTTATCTTGAAAAAACACTGCATTGTTGGCGCGTATACGTAGTATACCGCCTTTGCGATCGTTTCGACCCCCCCCTCGATACAATAACCGAGTCCCCTAGTTCCTTACCGAAAAGTGACTACCGCGAACTTCTGAGATTTTCCAAAGCGTGTAAAAAGTTTACTAATCCGTCAATAATAATGATTAAAATTTGTTTCTCATTCTGGGGCTCGCTAGTTTATGTGTAATGAATACCAAGAGTCTACGTTTCTTGGTTTTTTTTAAAAAAACCTTAGAATGGGGCGCGCTGATTTAAAATATGCATATATAAGCGGAAGCAAGCGAACTGATTCGAGGATGGCTGACCAGTTCGGCACTCCTTGAATGAGAATTTCACTCACTCCGTTTTGTTCACAACGTTGCTTTGACATATCTCCACAACACTGTTATCCTTTTCAAAAGTTGGTACTCCTTGCTCTGATAGCCGGGGCCACCAGGATAGTGGTAAGTGCAATCTGTGATGAGCCTCGAGACTCATTAGACCATTTGCTAAACGTGGCTCATACAGGAGTCCACTAAGCCCTCTCGTCCCCACGCTCCTGATCACTGCGTCGGCGTCACGAAGAACAATGGGCCTTGGGTCCCAACGCGGCCGATACCCGTACCCCAATTACTCACGCTTCATTAACCATTTCACCGTCACGCTAGGATTCATCCAATTTTCAAAAAAAATTGTTTCGCATGTATTTAGCAATTTTTTCCTTACTCTCCGTTAAAACACAAATAAAAAGAGACCTCATTCATAAAAATCGGCCGAATAGAAGAGAAGTTACAGTAATCGAAATCCGAAGAAATCAACAAAACCTCGACTCCTCGATACGAAAAATAAAATGAAGGGGAAAAAAAGAAAGTATAAATTACAATTAAATATAATTGACCTCAAAATTTGACAAACAATTCATTTATATACCTAACGCTGAAAAAACTGGGAGAAATTACAAAAAATTTGCCTCTTGCAAGGGGCTTCTTTGTAAGAATTTTGACCTGAAGACAACGGTCGAATAACAGCAGTACTCCATACAATACACGGTGTGCCTGAACGAGTTAAACATTTTTCATACGTCCAAATCGAAAAATCTTTATATTTTTAACTACAATGTTTCTTGAATCGTTTAAGCAAAAAAAAAAAAAAAAAAAATTCCGTCGAGATTCTGGAACGCAAAGGCGCTTTAAAAGTATTCTGGGGCTATAATAGCTAAATCACCGGTAGTAAATTCGTTATATTATTAAAAAGAAATTGACTCCATAGTTTAATTCCTTAGTTTCTTGAATACGATTATTTTAAGCACTTAAACATTTATACCACCAATTTTAGCCATGGGGTGATTTCCTGAGAGCCGATAATATCACGAATTTCTCATAGAACCCCTCAACAGTGGCTTGCTTTTTTGGCAGCCGATTCGGCCATCGAACCGGAGTTTAAATGGAAGCTGATAATAACCCAAAGCTCTGAGAAAAATTTTGAGATGAGTATAAGAACGGTTTGTTGTAAGTAGCGAGGAGAGGCGGGCAAAGCGGCTAAAATCCTATCTAATTTTTACAGTTTTTCTGTTGAATTAATGTTGCCGCGGGCTTCTGACTGTCCACACATAGTTCTGTTCAGCATATCGATACATAAGTATTTACATTTTACATACGTAGAATCTAATTTTCACGTCGGGGAGTTGACATATTTTGATTTTTTCGATTTTATACGGAAAATTGATGGTTTTTCGGGATTGAAATTATTATTGTTTCATGAAAAATAAATGCACCCAAAATGACTATAGCATATTGATTCTTACACATTTGCACTCACAAAATTGGTTGGTAAATTCAACGAGTGGGTGCATCGACCTGGTATATCAAGTTTCTGCAATTTTTTACGGCAAATCAGTAGATTTTCGGGATGTAGATTGCTTACTTTCAATTCATGAATGAATAAAGCAACGACATGGTTGAACTTCTTTGCATGGAAAGACGTTTAAAATAACAAAATCAAGACGTATTTAATGCAATTGCATTTATATCGAGTCAATTTCTTTTCAATAATATAACGGGATTTTTACTACCGGTGATTTGGGTATTTTAGCCCCAAAATACCTTTAAATCGACTTTATCTTCTAGGAGTTCGACAGAATTTTTCCTTTCTTCGCTTAAATTATTCCGTAGCACTTTTCTTCAAGAATCTGATAAGATTTTGCTTGAGGCAGATCAAAAAACTTAAATTCGATCGAATAGCTTTCTACTTTCACAATACACGGTCTCGTCAAGGTGCGTCTTTGACCTCGCAGTGTTGGATCGTGAATTCTCTTTTTATGCTGTTTGCCTATTTTGAAATCTCTGTAAATGAAAACTAAAGGGGTTGATATGTGCGAGTTAATGACGCGCCTTATCAACACATTGTGTTGGAGTTCACTGCTTGTTTTCTAATGTGGTCCAACTTTCGATTCTTTAATAGAATGTTTGCAATTGCAATATTTTTCGGGGGTGAATTTGAAGTCTTTTTGTATATGTTATACTATCTCAAGAATAACACCTTTAGTGTCTAATTTTCGGGACGTTTTTGGTGCTGATCAGGTGTGGGATTCTGCGCGGTGCTGGTGGCGTTTTACGTGTCGTTTTACTACAACGTGATCATCGGATGGTCGCTCTACTTCCTGGTGGCGAGCGCGACTCCGGAACTGCCATGGCTTCGCTGCAACAACACCTGGAACACAGCCTCTTGTGTCGACCCGCACAACACAACCGCCCGCCACAACTATACCTCCGCCCTCCTCCCCCACTCCGCCGCCAGCGAGTATTTCCAGTAAGTATCTTCCGATACACCACTATCCGGGAAAATTATAACGATCATATATCCCGATATATGGACTGCATGTTGCAATTTGGAACTATAAACTCTGGCCCGGTTTAAAAAGCGACGCGTGTGCCATTAGTTTCCCTATGCACATAAGTATTTTTTCATATGAGCCAGAATTTATAATTCCGAATTGCAAAATGCAGTCCATATGTTCAAAGACCTGGACGTAGACTCTCGGTTGAGCGAACCGATATTTTCGGTTGATAGAACCGAGAAACGTCGGTCTGCATGGAATCAACATGTTCCATAAGAACATACGTTTTTTGGTTGGATAAGCTGTTTCCTCGGTTCACAATACAGTAGTTTCATTCCGTCAACCGAGAGAATGGACACGAATACATGCATGTGAAATAAATGCAAATAAATAGTGAAAACACAATGGTAGGAACCCTGGAACCTTCACTTTCTAATAAATAACAACACTCATCATATCATATTTTTACCTGCATGTTAAGCTATGTTTTGAATAGCTTACACAAGTTTACTAAACATCGATTTGTTCGCCAAGAAAAATCCTCAGCTTGTCGCATTAAAACCAAAAAGAGGGTAATTCTAAGGGTTGATGGGTGGCATCTCGAAATCAAAATTTACCTCCTGTCATAAGAGATTCCTGCAGGGTCTTCATTTGCCTCCTACTTAGACCATTCAATATAGACTTCGAAACCCCATGTACGATGAACAAAAAGGCTTGATGTCATCCCTTATTCAAAATATAGCCCTTAAATTGTAATCAAAATTAACTATGGCAGTCTAAACACACTGATTTAATGATTTAATTCGTGATTTCAGTCGCGCTGTTTTGGAAATGCAACTAAGCAGTGGTTTGGATCAGATTGGTTACCCCAAATGGCAACTTGTGCTTTGTGTCCTCTGCGTTTACTGTATGCTATACTTGTCACTTTTCAAAGGAGTCAAAGCCTCAGGTCAGCCTACTTTACCTTTAATTTAATTGCAAAAAACATTTCCTTAGAAATTTAATTTTTTTAGAACAGCAAAAAATCTACTTGAGCTTAAAAATTTCAACTTATAATTTTCAATGCTAAGCTTTTTCGATATAATGATCTCAGGAACCTCTGGTCAAAATTTCAAGTAATAATTTGCATTATAAGTAAATGGAATTTTTATCTGTCTCAACAAATTTGTTCACATCTTCATCCACCGAATTTTAGCACACCAAAATGTACGTGCTTCTTATGTAGATTTTGCTGTGTTATTACAATGTAATCGTCGAATAAATAATCGTATATTTTCTTTATTCTTCTGGAATTGAAGTCTCTTTCTCATGATTCTGAATTTTAATCTAAAACTACTAACGCTTAAATTTAAACACATTTCAGGGAAAGTTGTTTGGATCACTGCGACAATGCCATACGTAGTATTAGCGATCCTATTGGTGAGAGGATTGATGTTACCCGGTGCTCTGCAAGGCATAGTTTATTATTTGAAACCAGAAGTCTCGAAGTTACGTGATACCCAGGTAATTCTTTTAAACTTAATCGCGAGTTTTTGTTCGTACTTTCTCTCTCCCTTCCGTGGATTCGGACTTTAACCATCGGAGTATCGTAAATAATGGAATGATACAACTATTCAACCTTCTGCGTGTTGCACAGTATCATTCTCAATTGAAGGCGTTTTTTCTTTCCTCGAGTCAGGCTTTCCTTCTGACCTCACTCCTCATTCCTCTATCTCTATCTCTATCTCTATCTCTATCTCTATCTCTATCTCTATCTCTATCTCTATCTCTATCTCTATCTCTATCTCTATCTCTATCTCTATCTCTCTCTTTCTCTTTCCCTCTAATCCGTCATTTGATACTATCGTGCTGCGAAAAAGAATAGAGAGACCAACTTTTTCAAGTTGAATTTTCTTCTTTTGATTAATTTGAGTGCAATAAATTGGTTGACTCCACAGATATATTGCGGACTCTTGTATGTGAAGTTTTAATGAGGGGTTTATCTCAATCATTCTATCAATCTCTAGAATTCTAACCAACTATTCTTAAAAATTACATGAGAAATAGTGATTTTTTTAAATATAATTTTCCGTTTGGACCGAAAAGGAACATTTCCTCAGAGCGTCACTCTCGTGCTCAGAGCTCTTGGGCAACACGACAGAATAATATTCAAAGAGACAAGAGGCTCATTCTCTTTTTTACAAGATACGTTTCATTTTCCCCGCAACGATATGCTCTCCACGAGGTAAATGATTAAAAGGGGTTTGTCGGAGCGGCGTTTCAAGGCTCGACGATTTAAGTTTGCGGTTTCTTCCGAGAACAAAGTTTTGATGCAACATGCCGAGTTTCAATTTTTAAACTCCGTGAAGCACGTTCCTCGTCCACCGCACCGTGTTCCCGTCTTTATTGCTTGCTTTTCGCCGTCTTTCAACTTTATTCATCACCATTAGCTTCAATTAGTCCTCGCCGTGAGCCTCCCGCTTTAACCTCTCGCCTAATTCGACCAATTTCCCCTGAGTTGCAGGGATTTTTATGTGAGCATAAATGAGGGATAGGCGAGTATCTACAGGGACGTCGCGTCGTGGGTAGGAAAGTTTTCATCATGGGTGTCGGAGTGTCTGACACATTGCATGACCGGGTGCACAGGTACTAGATGCAACTTTTTTGGTCCACAGATTGATGATGGATCTATGCCGGCAGTGAACAAAGATTAAAATATTATGAATATATTTTGCTGAAGTGCTAGTTTTGCTTTTAACTTTGTAGCGCAGGACAAATCGAATCTATAGAAGCACACTTAAACTGCCGACTTTAAAAAGAATTAATTTACATTATTCATATTCAAATTCATACTTCAATGACTTGTTCCATATTTCTATCCATCACCCGTAATTCCAATTCACGCTCGCTCCTAAAATAGCTATTTTACCTAGAGTGGCTCATTTTTTATTGAAATATATAACTATTGAATCAGTATCACGGACAACTCTGACCAAATTTTGGTGAAATTCGAGGGACTTTTCTAGTATTGAGAGCGTTCATAAAATACGTGGTGCACTTTTTTGGAATTTTTTACCCCCTCGCCCTCGGCCCTTTTAACGCTTTCTTGACTCGGGTTGCTATCCCTAAACACGTTAGAACAAGTGGCGTAATGCTCTCTTCGACCACCTCTCCCCTTCAAGCGTTGAGTAATTCATGAACGGTCCCTAAATGGATCCTTGTGAAGGATTGTAAAAGTCTTCCATTGCATAAATTGGGAGAACTAGGGAGAAAATCTTATGATCCTGACAAACTATCGCCTTCTTTAACCGAAATATATTTTTATTGATTAATTTATTTTACTTTATCTTAGAGTTTACCATTTTCGAATATTTCACAAGGATCCATTTACGAGACTATCTGATTTTATTGTACTGAAAGTTCGTTAAAATTGAGGAGCTTTCCGGGAAAAGGGCACATAGCAAAAAATTGCGTTTGAGAGAAATGCATTTGAAGTTTTGGTCATTACTCTATGGTCACTGACAGTGACTTTCGTTCGAAATCGGGAGTCCAAGCTGCGATGAAAGGTACCAGCAGTGGCCAAAAATTTATGATGGAAACTTAAAATGCATTTTTCTCAAACGCTATTTTTTGCTATGTGCCCTTTTTCCGGAAAGCTCCTCAATTGCCCTTTTCCTGGTGCAGTGTTTAAGATCCTCTTAGTTCAGTCAATTTTATCTCCGAACGAAAAGGGAATGCTTACGGATCAACTATAAAAACGACACTGAATTTAAGCATGAGCTGTCTGAACGAGCAAGTCTACCGTTTCATTGTCTAACCGAATGCGGTATTTCGCGTACGGACGGTCTTTTTCAGGCGTTGCATTTTAGCCAAACCCGTGATTTTACAGAAAATTCATCTTAGGGTGATCTTTAGCCTTTCCTGGTGGTGACAGTAATGACATAACTGTGATTGAATATGAATTATCGGACTATCAAGCTATGATGCAACACCAAACCCAATGAATTCTAGCGACAAGTCCAGGTCTTCGGAGGCTATTTAAAGACGTAAGACAAAAGAGGAATTTCCATTGTATGTCCCACCGGTTGGAGGCAAAAGACGAGCTGTCTCTTTTGGTCAAAAGAGAATATTGTTCGAGAGTTATCCCCCGCGATGAAGGAGCAAAACTTTTGTTAAAGGCTTCAAAAGCTTGGATTTCTGTGGGCTGCACGCGCAACACGACAGAACCAGGACCGACGAGAGTTACATCTGACCTTTTTTCATGGAGGATGATCCCTCTCTGAACCTATGGAAACCTGTCGAGTTTTGCAATGTCATCGTCTACCGGCAGGAACAATCGGGGGGAATTTGAATTGTTATATCGTTCTATGTCTTTGACATTTTTAGTGTCGATCAATGATGGGTAACCGGAAAAGTTTTTAGATCGATTTCTAGACCGATTCACATGATAGCATTTGTATACTAATTGACGTACGCCCCATTGGAAAAATTTAACATTTTGCGATGCAAATCATTTTTTTTTTCCACATTTTAATGACCCAGGGACTAATGGGTGTGAGAATACCTTAAGCCAAATTTGGTTTATCAGCTTAAACTCAGAGGCTGCTACAACGAACTTTAATGGTTCATATTTTTAAATCTTGACTACTGTTCTTCTAAAATATAAAATCATAAGAATAATGCGTAACCTATATAACGCCTGCGCGAAGCGCTTTCGGGTGGTCGGACCGTGAAGCGGTCATGGGGGGGGGTAGGTAGCCCCCTAGTTTTGAATATAATGGTTTGTATGAGAGGCTAAGCCCGAATTTTTTAAATTTGATTTTTAGGTGTGGATTGACGCAGCAATCCAGATCTTCTATTCTGTCGGCGCTGGTTTTGGCGTTCATTTGTCTTATGCCAGTTACAATAGTTTCCATAACAATTGTTATAGGTAAGTTTTATTAGCCAATAAATACCCTTTTCCATACTCCTTTATTTCACTCGAAGTAGTAATACTCAAAACGATCCCTACAACAGCGCCAAAGTTAAAGTAGACACTTCGCGTTACGTCGTAAGGCGGCGCACAGTGCAGTGTCCCATGGACAAAAATCGAAAATTCGACTTTGTCGAATAATAAAAATGACCGCTGGATTGAAGAAATAGGTGGATGGGAAGGAAAAATTCGAAGTTTCTTGACATGAAAATGTTATTGAAAGGGAGGGAGGGGGAGGGGAAATCACGGAACCTGCGCGGATGCACAATTAGCAGAGATCCAGCAGCGGGCATCATGTGTTATGACGGGTGATAACTGATATTATCCTAATCAGAACGGAACAAGGTAGAATGTTTAGGTACAAGGTATGTTTGTCTATACAAAAACTATGTTGATTATTTTAAATTCTTAAATTAAGGGCCTCTCAGTCCGGTCTTCCGTTGATGATGCCATAAATTCGATTTATTCCATATACGCATCTTCAAATGTAGATTAAAAAAATATATCAAAATATATCAACGCAATTTTTTGATATGTTGTTCAGAATACCTTCCAGATTCAGAATATGTTTAGTTTTTAGCCACAAACTGCCACAAATCGACGGAATCGTCATTTTTGTGACCTCAAGTTAGGGCTTAGGCGCGCACTGAGCGGCATATTGGCTTGTTTTTATAACAGCCATACGTGAAACCAAAGCGAGCCAGTGTGCATGCATGAGTTCAGCCGTGTTTTTTGATAAGTTGTTAAAATGATGTTTCAAATCCATAATCTATTTGATTTCTACTCAATTGGACCTCAAATTTAACGACAAATATGGCGTCCGCCCTTTCATGTCAGAAATCAGCCACGTGATCGATAAGTGAGATGTGATGATATCTTTAAACAGAGATTAAAAAAGTATATCAAAATATATCAACGCAGTTTTTTGATATGTTGTTCAAAATACCTTCCAGATTTAGAATATGTTTAGTTTTAAGCCACAAACTGCCACAAATCGACGGAATCGTCATTTTTGTGACCTCAAGTCAGGGCTCAGGCGCGCAGTGAGCGGCATATTGGCTAATTATCGTGTCTTTAAACATAGATTAAAAAAATATATCAAAATATATCATCGCAATTTTTTGATATGTTGTTCAGAATACCCTCCAGATTCAGAATATGTTTAGTTTTAAGCCACATACTGCCACAAATCGACGGAATCGTCATTTTTGTGACCTCAAGTCAGGGCTCGGGCGCGCACTGAGCGGCATATTGGCTTATGATCATATCTTTAAACATAGATTAAAATAATATATCAAAATATATCAACGTAATTTTTTGATATGTTGTTCAAAATACCCTCCAGATTGAGAAACTGTTTAGCTTCCAGCTACAAATTGTCACACACCGACGAAATCGTCGGTGTTGTGACCTCAAGTCGGGAATCGGGTATACTCGTTGAACTGCATGATACGGTCTCTGTTTAAGGCGAACTTCATGATTCCTTTCCGACAAAGAAAAAAAAAGTTACATACACATGTGGTTATTAGACATGATGTTCATTCTATACAATACTCTAATACATGCCCCCCCTCCCCCCGAAAATTCTATCCGTCTTTCCGGGTCGTCCTCCAATTTTTCGGAATAGCCGATTTTCCCTCGGATAATCACAGTGCTTGAGCATTTTTTGTTCTTGCGACTTTTTTCTCACACAAAAATTTAAAAAAAAAAAAATTATAATACGTGTTAAAAAGGTTTAATCTGGGTAAAGGTAACAGGGCCTGTTGTTAACCAGTAATTTCAGATCAAATCATGGGGAATGTGCCGTGACCGCGTCTTTTTCCGACCAGAATCGATCTCACTATAATTGTTACAGCCCCCCCCCTCCTCCAGGTGCTACTTTAAGAACTTAATCCCATCTAACGATAGACTGTATGAATAGGAGGTCTCATGTCAAATTTTCCATCTCTTTGTCCATCCGTTTTTGAGCTACAAGTTCGGTTCCTACCGCCCGAACGCTCTTTATTTAGTAACTTTGCGACCGCTCCACCCCTCCCCGCCGGAAGTGTCATTTAAAAAATTTGACCTCATTTAACGATGGCCTATCGGTAGAAGAGGTCGCACCCAAATTTCACTTCTGTATGTGCTACCAACTTTGGACTAAAATGTTTGTCCCCACCGCCCAAATGCACGTCTTCAAGTATCACTGCTTCCGCCCCCCTCACCCCGCCATAAGTGTCATTATGAAATTTTGACCCCATCCGACAATAGCACATATGTGTAGGAGGTCTCATATCAAATTTCACTTTTCTATATCTTTCTGTCTTTCAGCTATGAGTTCGGTCTCTACCGCCCAAACACTCGCCTTCAAGTATCAGCACTCCCGCCCCCCTCCTCCCGCCCCAAAGTGTCATTAACAAAATTTGACCTCATCTAACGATAGTCTATATGTTCAAGACCTTTCATACCAAATTTCACCTTTCTATGTGCTTTTGTCTGCGAGCTATGATTTTTGTCCCTACGCGCCATAAGGGCGCTGCACTGTGCGGCGTTCTAATTAGACTCATTCGTAAAATAACTTAGTTGCATAAGGAAAGAAATGGCACATACGTTGTTCCTAAAATGAGTCGGAAAGAGTAGCTCCTAAATGAAAAATGAAGTAAAAAAAAAAAAAAAAAAAAAAAAAAGGCAAATTTATCAAAGGCAGTTTTATTAGCTCTCAAAGGCAGTTTTATTAGCTCTCAATTGCCGATCTGCTACTTAATACTTAACATTCACCTCATATAAATCAAGTTCAAAGGAGCGTGTAAAAAAACCGCCTACCTATGTATAATATCAATGGTCGATACATCGTTTCGAAAAAAAAGTCATTTCAGAATTTTTGTTAGACTTCATTACGATGTCAAGTATGGTAAGCTTATTGAATGTCTTGGCATTGCTAAGTATATGTATCAACTATTCTTGTCTCCAAACACTAACGCATAATGCACTGTTAACTGCATGACGGAAAATCCAGACGTATACCAGAACCAGAACGTTGAAAACCGAGATAACTGGTTTTGAACTTTCACCGTCAGTATATGTATTTATGGCTGTCCATAAAATACGCACGAAACGTTAAATTTGGGATATTTACACCGTGTATCCCTCCTGCCTTCCATAGCTATTATGACGTAGGGATCCTTTTCTATCACTTGTAATCCTTAAATGCGTAAGAGCATAATGGCGTAATTTTCCTAGACCTATCCGCTCCCTCTTAAAATGTTACGTATTTAAGTACAGTTTCTTTGCTTTAATCTATTTTGAATAATTTCTTTTTTTTTCAGGAGTTGCTTGGTAACAACGGCTGTAAATTGCTTCACTAGTTTTTTCTCTGGACTTGTAATTTTTACGTATTTGGGCTTCATGTCGTTTCGGCAAGGGATCCCTATTAGCTCAGTGGCGACAGAAGGTAAATAATTGAATCAAATTTATTAAATGTATTCACGAGGGGAACAAATTGCACCTGGTTGGCTAATTCACTAGAAAGTTAGTTTTAAGGACATTATTATTAGTAAAAATTGCCAGAAATGTATGGCAAGTATCGCTCTTTACAGCACAAAAATCTTAGCCACCTCTAAAAAGAAATTATGAAGTTAAATTCTTACTATTCCATTCGAAATCTAAGATTAAACCTGAATGCTAATTAAAATGTTTCATAATCGTAAGTTAATTTTTGTAATTAAGTAAGGAGTGTGGCTACAAGCCTGTATTTCAAATTATAAATCTAGAGGAAATAGCATCATCACGTAAAAGTGCTTACTTAAAGTTTCTATTGATAGGAACCCTACTTTTTTGTTCACTACCTTCAATCTTCATTCGATTTTAATACCAGTATACCAGTGCACATTGAATTCAGACTTTCGTCGGGGGAAAAATGACTTCCCTGAATGAAGTCAAAAGAGCGCTCTTCCAGCCAGGAGGTGATTTTTTCCCGAGGACAGTTTCCTTTCAGAGAATTTTTAAGTTTTGCACGTAGAAATGAAAAATGAATATGCACCTCTGGTATTAATAAAAGCGCGAAGACTGAAAGTAACAAGCAAAGATATTAGTATACTTATTAAGGAACTTATTTACAGCTATTTAAGGCTTATTCCACAACTATACTCATATCTTACTATTTCTTTTCAAGATGACTTAGTGGTGTCGTTGTGTATGCCTCAATTCTGTTATAAAAGTGTCTTGATTTTATCCTCTTTTTTGATTCTCTGTAGGTCCCGGCCTGGTGTTCCAGGTTTACCCTGAAGCGGTTGCTACTCTTCCAGGCTCTCAAATTTGGGCCATGCTCTTTTTCTTCATGCTCATCATGCTCGGCTTGGACTCGGCGGTGAGTTAATATTTATACAACTTTCAATCCTTGTAAACTTGAATTCTTGAGGGTAATGCTTAAAAAGGTTGGTAAAATTATCAGCTTTTTTTTAGTCATTAATACCAAAACCCATGTATTAAGAAAAGCTATTTAAAATTCTTATTCGTCACGCGTTCAGGGCACACCGTTGCTGAACCACGATGGAGCTTTACTTCCAAAATTGATAAAAATAAAAAAAAAAAAAAAAAAAAAAAAAAAAAATGAAGAAAACCTCTGGCGACTTATCCTTCATGACACAAGGGCCAGTTTTGCCACATCAGGTCTTTATCTTTTGTCAACAAAATCTAGAAAAACTATTTTGGGGGATTTTAGGGTCTGCACGGTATATTTTACTGCCAGAATATCAGTATTAATAGTTTTAGGTCGGATATTTTGGAATAATATGGCTAAACTTTCGGTTGAAGGTTCAAAGTGCCTGTAGAATTGTGGCCAAAGGTTAAGCCCGCAATAGAGGCTCAAAGTAGTTTTCCTGCCAAAATCCTGCTGCCAGGACTTTATGTCCACCTACCTTCCGTCTATTAAATAAATGTCAACCGCTATTTATGTCCACTACAGTCTTTAACAGGCTATTAACGTCTTTACAGAGAATTTTGAAAATGGGAGTATATACGAAAATTTAGATTTTTAAATTAAGAGAGGTGAAGAGTTCCTTCATTCTTACAAACATTTCATTCATGAATCAAGTCATGAAAGAGAACAGACTCTAAGAGCAGATAAAAACATATGTTCATGTGTACACTGTACGGATATGATAAGATGAAAACCAGAGCGGGAGCCTAGGAAACGCTCCAATGCCAAATTAAACTTTTTTCAGTGACAGATGCAGTCAAAATTGAAAGTCCTCTTTAACTAGTTATTTCGTGCGCCTTCAATCTTGTAGGACACTGTGCAACGCCTCTGACGTGAAATAGTTGCTTAAAGCGTTGCGGCGCGGCAGGCGACCAGCGTGACACGCGCATAGGCGCCTACAAACCTAACGGGATACTTCACGCATTGCGCAACGCGTGAAGTATCCCGTTAGGTTCGTAGGCGCCAGTACGCGTTCTGCGCTGCTAACACGCCGCTCCGCTCTGTGTTAGGCTCTAATATTTGAACTCGCGGAGTCAGCGTTTTTCAACTTATGATTTTGAAATGTTTGCACTCTCTGCATTGATTATTCCCTTTTAAACTGATGAAAAAGAAATATGTACTACTGGAAAATATAATGTGTTTTTTGTAAATATAATAGTCGTTCCGTGTCAAATTTAACGATTTCCAAAGCATTCAAATTTATTCTTTTATGTTTTGGGCTTTTACTGTGCTGCAGCGTGGTGTAAGCGCAACTAAACGCTTAAAATTGGACGTATTTGACTCAAGAAGGTCGATGTACAAATAAGTTAAAAACAAAAAATTGCGTGCTTCTTAGTTTTTTTCCTCTTTTATTAATTTTTGTATAGTTTCTTTCATCACAACTACGGCTCATTGAGATTCATATCAATGCCATTGCTTGGAAAAGGTTTTACAAATATTTACCACGTTTTAAAAATGTAAATGTTTTTAAAATGAAGTAATCAATTTCATTAAAAAAAAGAATGTGCATTTAAGGCATATTTTATATCGGAAATTTCAAGGATAGAAACGAAACCAAGTATTTACCAAGGACAATTTAAAAAGATGAATCAAAAGAAGAAAGTAACATTTCATTTAAAATATGAGTTACGATAACAACACCTCATTCTCTCTTAATTTTCTCATTTAGATATTGTATATATAATTTTACACACGGACTAAAATATGACGCTTGAATTTGATTTTAGTGGACTTTACATTTGTGGACTTAATTTAGTGGACGTTTAAGTAATGGACTTAACAGTAGTGTGGGCTTTAGAACTGTGGACGTAAAAATTGTGGACGAAAAGTCTGTGGACGTAAAAAAAGTGGACATAAAGTCCGTGTGCCAAAATCCTAAACCCCGATTTTTCGACGTAAAATAACAAAAATACCTCTGTTTGAATTTTGTCCTGGAAGGGCATGTATGAAAAGAAGAAAGCAGGGAAAGCCGAGCGAGGTAAGGTAAGTTTGAGAGCGCGCGGCTAGATTCAGCGGTGCAAAGGGAGAAAAGCGTAAGAGCCTTCGGACGTTGCCAAATCTCCTTTGAAAAGTCAAAAATTCTGGGGAAAATTTGCACAATTTTCCTTCCGATTCTTCGGAGAATTTTCAACGCAATTTTATCTAAAGTTTCAGAAAACTTCGAGGAAAAATACTCATGGCTTTCTTCAAAATTGAATTATTTCTTAAAGGAGATTTGGTGGCGTTCGAATGCTCTTACGGTGAATTCCTCGGAGTGCCGAATCGTTTGATTGTATCGCGAAGGCGGGGGCGGGGGTGCGAGCTCCGGGTCGCACGCATTGCAACATCACTTGGACATATTTCTGCCAAACGGACCTATGTGCATTATGACGTGAGCCCTGTCGTGCATATATTCTTATGAGTCTCAGGGCCCATGTCTTAATGTACATAGTTCCGTTTGGCAGAAATACGTCCATTTGGCGGGTGGTTTTCGTTGTTTCAGATGGGCGGTATGGAGTGCGTGATAACTGGAATTATGGACGAGTTCTTCCACGATAAGCGACGGGAGCGAGCGCGTGAGGTCTTCGCTTTCTGCGCCATCCTCGTCTCCTTTCTCGTCGCCATCGTCAACGTCACACCCGTAAGTTATCCAACCCCCAAGCACCATACTCTGTAGTACACACTCAAATGAAAACAAGAGGGAAAAAAACCAAACCAACCAAACTTAAATGGACCAGGGTCGGATTAAGGGGGTGGCCATATGGGCCGCGGCCTATGGCGGCAAATTTAGGGGGTGGCAAATTTTTCAATTTTTTTAAATGTAGGTATAAGAAAAATCGGATTCAGAAAAAAAAATATCAACGAGAAAAGGGGAATTGAATTTGACTTTAATCATGAATCTTCATCGATCAAATTACATCTCTCTTTCCTGCAGCTGGATCATTTACTTCGCTAGATACGGGTGATGGATACGGCGTATCCATCTATTGGTGATCTACCGCTCGATAAGTTGGCGACCATTTACCTCGTATCTAGACCACTAGATGAGCTCTAGATGGATAAGTTTATCTAGAGGTACGATGGATACGGATCGCGGTGTTTCACGATCTAACTGAACATATTTTTTTCTTTTCAACCAATCACAGCTCATCATTCCATCTCTGAAGAAGAAGAAGTGACTTTGCGCGTTGCTTTGCGCGCGTGAATGTGAACACCATAACCTCAAATGTACGGAAGATTAGGCCCACGATTTTCTAACGAGCGCGATTTCCGTAGTTTATCGTGGTTTTCGCGAGAAATACAAAAATATATCGTCTTATTTCAATCCTTACTATATTAATTTATTTCTTTTTAAAATGAAATTTCATAATTGTATTTTGAGGTTATATTTCACCTATATCAATAATTTTGACTTATAAACGTGAAAAACGAATTAATTTATTCTTTAAATGTATTATTTTAAGTTTTGTTCTTTTTTTCAAATAATTATCAAAGTGTAATATTTATCCGGTTTGCGAGTATGTTCGTGATGACTTTAATACTCGTGCCAGTAAAAAGATTAACTTGAACTTAATGCAGCAGAAACAACCAGTTTTACAATAAAATCGATCACCTAACCTCAAATATCGATAGATACAGAGTTATCCACCACCTCCGGTGTGGGGGATAAATATCTAGTGCCGTATCTAGAGGCGTATCTACCGGGCTAAGTGTATGGTCGCTACGAAATGAATCCGATAGAAGCGCGGCGCGTATCCATCAAGGTCAATAGATATCAAAAGTAAATGATCATGTTGAGAGAATAGAAATTTCTAATTTTTTCGTTTTTCGGTATTACAAGAGACAGCATCTTTAATTAGTCGAGTTAAGAGAGGAACTAAACACGCAATTTGGCCTGGAGCTTAGCGCAGAGAGGAATGATGATGAGGACTTGAAAATAATGAAAAGGACAAGCCCTCGGCGCGGCGCGGCCGGCGGTCGGCATGTAACACATATTAGCGCCTACAAGATTGCATGAATACTTCACCCATTGCGTCAAACACTGTGCGGTCAGGAGCGGTTGGCGTGAAACTCATAGCGCCTACAAGACTACAGGAATACTTCACGCATTACGCCAAACACAGTGCGATCATCGGCGCGGCGCAGCGGCGGAAGTTAAAATTATTAAACCACATTTATGCTTGTTCTTTCATAATTTTTTGGTTCATTTCTTATAGATGAAGGACCTTGTCCATACAGAGACGATTTATGGAACTTAACTTTCGCGCAAAGTTCCGTGAAATTTTACCAGTAGTTTTGACAGGGCTTTCGGAAAAAGCGTATCCAACATGAGTAGGTAAACGTGTCTTATGCGCCCCTCCCCTCCGTCACGTTCCAAGTCATTCGAAGACAGTCATTCGAAGAGACAGCTCCTTTAATCAGTCGAGTTAATAGAGAAACTAGACTCGCAATTCGGCCTGGCCGCCTGGAGCGGCGCGGCGCAGAGAGCATTGATGACGAGGACTTGAGATGAAAAGGAGAAACCCTCGGCGCAGCTATCGGCATGTAACACATATTAGCGCCTACAAGACTGCACGAATACTTCACGCATCGCGTCAAAAACAGTGCGCTCAGCTGCGGTCTACGTGAAAAGCATAGCGCCTGCAAGACTGTAGGAATACTTCACGCAATGCGCCAAACACAGTGCACTCAGCGCGGCGCGGCGGCGGAAGTTAAAAATATTAAACCACATTTAAGTATGTTTGTTTTTCCATTATTCTGCGTTCATTTTTTATTAATGGAAGGTCTTGCCCACACAGAGATAGGTTTACGGAACCTAACTTTCGCGCAAAGTTCCGTGAAATTTTACCAGTAGTTTTGACAGGGCTTTCGCAAAAATCGTATCCAACATGAGTAGGTAAACGCGTCTTATGCGCCCCTCCCCCTCCGTCACGTTCACTTGATGGTTTTTATTTATGTTTCAAAACGAATGAGAAGGGGGCGGCAAGTAGGTAAATCCGGCCCTGAAATTGACCAAGTCAAGCAGGAAGGAACCAAGCCATATCAGCTGTTGCCAAATTTAATGAGGCATTTAATTTGATTTTCTTCGTGGGAACCGTCTTGCGAATTTTTTGTGCAAATTTCAGTGGCGTATCTGTATAGTGCGAAGCAAATTGCTGAAAATTTTCAAAGGAATCCGCACAAACATTCTCTCATAAAAAATCAAATTGCTCAGTTAAACGCCCTTGCTGATGTGGCTTGGTGCCTTTCGGCTGTAAACGTGGTCCAAAGATACACTGGATGTCCTGCATGTATTCGTACGTTTTTTCAAGATAGGGTTTTTGATGAGGTTAGATTTTTCATGTGAAGAAGCGTGCACTCTGGAAAAATTGTACATGAACTCGATCTTAAAGTTTCTCTCGCGTCGAAGACATGAAAAGTTTGAATGATTTTCCCTGGAAAGCCCTAATTGTTTCCTTCGGTTCCTTTCTTTCTTGTTTTTACTAGGTGGAGGGAAGTGTATTTTGGGTACACTATCCCCAACCCCTCTTCTCCTAGGAACATAAAATATCCTCCATCATAGAGCAACCCTCCCTCAAAGTTTTGTCTCTAGAAATGAAAACGTTACGGAGGTGATCAGTGAATTTTGGAATGCTCCGCGGGTGTATCTGCTGTATTTTTTGGAGGGGGGGGGGAAGGCACGACTTGTTTGGACTTAATTATCTATATAACCTGTGATTTCAGCAATGCTTTTGTTTTGGTTTTTTGGAAGAACAATTCCAACAATTCATTATTTCCGATACGGTATGACAGCAATGTAAAAAAAGACTCATTGTTCAGTGCATAAAACAGATAGAATGAGATTTAGTTTCAGAAAAAGAAAGGTCCAGACAGATTGACATCTAAATAATTGAAACTGTCCCGTCGAGAAGTGAGTCTTCTTCGATGACATCTTCTCTTGAACACTCATTACGTAAAGCGGAATCCTTCGCATTACCTTTAGCTATCGCCTTAGCAGTTGCTCAAAAGTATCGATTACTATCTACTTAAGATGTTGAAGTTCAATACACTCCATGAATAGTCGAACCTCATTGTCAGTTGATTGACTGTGGACTGCTCGAGGATGTTTATTGATACCGCTTATTTCTATCATACTGACTGTTAAAGATTCTGACTGAGTACTTAATTAAAATCAAACTGTCTCCGTTGGTTCGATTGTTTGTCCATTTCCTTTAAATACTATTAAGACGCAGCCGAAGTAGAGATAAATATGATCAGGCTACATTTTCATAACTTTCCACACCGGGCGACTCCCTACATTCGAGTAGCTAGGCAACATCATCAGCCTCTTCCAAGTTAAAATCCTCTCAAGCATATCTCTTTTTCTCAAAAAGAGTCTCTCACATTATATCTCACAATTGAAAATGCTCCACAAGTTATGTATAGTCATATCAGTGCTATGCGGAGTCAGTGGCGATTTTGCAAATTGGCAAAATTCTTTTCCCTCAATTTAAATCCATTAAATATATCGATGTTAGGTGAGGCAAGCTGTCTCGCCAAGAATCGATGGTTTTACATACATTTAAATGGAGGAAAAACAATATTACCAATTTGCAAAATCGCCTCCGCCCAGAGTCAAAAGGTACCTAACTCCATTTTAGTCATTTCGAGATATCAGGGGAAAACCGCACGTCACCCCCACTGATTATGATGTAGGTAGCAATTTTTGAAACTCCGTCACTCATAAACGTCACATTTTAGGGAATGCTATAAAATTTTACACGCACCCACACGGAACCGTTATGGAAGGTTTCTAAAACACCACAAACTCGATTTTCACAAAATGTGACTTGGGTACCTTTTGACTCTGGGACACTAATGTTATCAAATGCAAACAAAAAATTCTCTCTCTAATTCACTGAATAAAAGGTAAGATAGGAATTTCGCTTTCGTTGCAAAGTGACACCAACATTTTCGAAAGATTTTTTAAATGTAAATATTTGTGCTTGTTCCGATACGAAACCATCCCAAAACGTAGAGATTGTCCATTTATCCGTAGACAGAGGTCGTTCTTACGAAGTCTAAAAGTTCTAAAGGTTCGGAGTTCTAAAGGTTTTCTTATTTTCAACTGGGTGGTTTCACGATAACTGGAATAGTTTTGTCGCCATAACGGACAACACATTTTTCGTTCATATTTTTAGAGGTAATGATAATCACTCGAATTTTTTTGCATTAATCTACTACGTGTTATAACGCTTGTCAAAGATTTGTCGCTCTACTTTTCAGTTTTAATATATAAATGACCGAAAATGTGCTGTCTGTTACGCTGACTTTTTACCGCGTAACAGACAGCACATTTTCGGAATTTACATAATATTAATTGAGAATTAGAGCAATAAATCATTGGAAAGCGTTAAAATACGCAACCCTTTCAAGATTAGTGCGAAAAAATTCGAGTGATTCTCATTTCTACTAAAAATATGACCGAAAAATGTGTTGTCTGTTACGGCGAAAAAACTATTCCAGTTATCGTGAAACCACCCAACTCATGTGTTTCTTGTTCTTTTTTTCAACTCACTTGTTTCTTCTCCTTCTTTTCCTCTATTTTCGCGAGAGGGAGTTGAGGCTCACACGAGAGCCAACATTTGAGTAAACCGCATCCAGCTGCGTCGTATACAAAAACTAAGTGGGAAAACTGCTTAGAGTCACGCAAAGTCACTAAATACTCGAGAGCAATTTTATGCTATTTTTATGTTTTGTTTTTTCCGCTCCCCAGGGTGGCATCTACGTGTTCCATCTGTTCGATAACTACTGCGCTGGCATCTCTTTGCTCTGCTCGGCGCTGTTTGAGGCCATCGCCGTCTCCTGGTTTTACGGTGCGTTCCACCTTTCATCAACTTTTTGCAGCGTCGAGGCGTGAATGGTCGATCATCGATATTTCCCCATTTGAAGCAATGGCAAAGAATCGATTATTAAAGTGTTTGTTGCGAACATTCTGTTTATCGATCCTTTTCCAAGAGTTTAAATTGTATAGATCAGTCGAAATATCGCACACTGAAAAAAAATTCTCGGCGTTTTTACCAAGGTCCGTTGGTACCTTTACCATCTCACTTTTTTTACCAATTATTGGTAATTTTACCAATACAAACTGGTAAGCTTACCTAAAAACCGGTATTTTTACTGTTTTTTTTTCAGGTAAGAATACCACTTTTATTGGTAATCAATTCTCGGTAACTTTGCCATTTTATCTCGGTAATTCTACCACAGTCGATAAAAAATATTGGCGTTTTTACCAAGGTCCAGTAAAATTACCGAGAAAGTTCAATAATTTTACCGAGATTTCTGGGTAAAATTACCAATTCCAAAAATGGTAATTTTACCAAGAAAAAACTGGGATCAAATAGAACCCTGAATTCTTGGTAATTTTACCCTTTTCTTAGTGAATACACCGATATTTTTTTTTCAGTGCAAAGCACGCCTCGCCACAGACTTTTGATATCAAACCCTGCTACTAAAGAGCATGTTGGTGCTCTGTTGAGATCATTCTGGTGGGTGAAACATGGTATCATCATAGTATCAACATGGTTCCAACAAATTTTATGTCAACGGTGTTCAGTGTTGATATCATGTTAGTCACTGTTGGAGGTTTCAGGACATTCTGTCAACGTTTTTTTGTCCGCGCACCTTTTTTGTCCAGTAGTTTACGCCCCACGTAAAATAAGCAACAGTGACTTGGTCCAAGCGTTATATTTTAGTCGGTATGTAAAATTATATTGACAATATGGAAATGAGAAATTGAGAGAGAAGGACGTTTTGTTATGGTTGCTCATTTGCTAAATTAAGTGTTATTACTTTCTCCTTTTGAATACTTTTTTTACATTGTCATTGGTGAATATTTGGTTTTATTTCTATCCTTAAAATATTGAATGTGCAATATACCTTATATATGCATAGGTACTTTTTTTTATTTTTTTTATTTTTTCTTCACGAAATTATTACTTTATTTTGAAGATATTTATATTTTTAAAACGTGACAAATATTTGTAAAACCTTTTCCAAGCGACATTAATCTCAATGAGCCGCAGTTGTGCCGACAGGAACTGCAAAAATGAATAAAAGAGGAAAAAAAAACCAAAAAGCACGCAATCTTTAGTTTTAACCCATTTGTACATCGATCTTTTAGAGTCAAATACGTCAAATTTTGAGCGTTTCGTTGCGCGCACACCTCGCTGCAGCACAATAAAAGCACAAAATGTAAAAGAAACAATTAAAGTGCTTTGGAAATCATTAAATTTGACACGGAACCACGAATATTTAAAAAACACACATTATATTATTATTATCCTTTGATAAATTGATAAATATGTGTTTTCCATCAATTTTAATGAGAATAATAAATGCAGAGTGTGCTAACATTTCAAAATTATGAGTTATAAAACGCTAAATATTAAAGCCTAACAGAGCGGAGCGGCGACGCACAGTGTGTCAAAACCCCAATCTAGCTGCTCAAAACCCCCCTTATACCTACAAACCTAAGTGGATACTTCACGCATTGCACTATGCTTGAAGTATCCACTTAGGTTTGTAGGCGCCAATGCGCGTTCCGAGCTGGCCGCCCGTCCGCCGTGCGGCAGCGCCTGAAGCAACTATTTCACAACAGAGGTGTTGCACAGTATTATACGAAATTGAACTATTTAAAATGACAGGCATCCTTTTAAAGTACAGATCTTTCCTCGCAAAATAAATCAAGATACTTATCGTACACAAGAAAAATCTAAGAGCCTTTAGCTGAGGCAAATATAGAGGTTTATCCGGTTCAGGTATAACAAGGTGGGAATTTCTTGAAAGATAATTGAGTCTTGTTACACCAAAGAAGTGTAGAAAGTTTTAGTGAATTTTGTCGCATGGAATTGATGCTCCCCCATTTTTACCAAAACTCTCAACTATATATTATTCTCCGTTGGACCAAGCAGACAAAACAAAAAAACAAGCAAACCCTCATTCTTCCAAGACATTATATATTTTCATCCAAAAACGTTGTGAGCAATTGTCGTTTGTATTTACATGTGGACCACTTAACTTTGGGTCTCAACTGGCACGTGGACCAAAACTCCCGTGCCGAAAAAACGCGTGGACGTAAATTACTGGAAAAAACAGGTGCGCGGACAAAAAATCGTTGACGAAATGACCTATAACCCTGTTGGAGAATGTGACCGATGAGGTACCATGTTGGTACAATGTTGATAGTACGTGGGTGCCCACATGGTGTCATATTTACTTCCTCTTAATAGTGATAGTTTCTGCAAAAAAATCGAATTGATAAATCATATTATCATGCTGTTAAAAAGGGCACCCAAGGACCAAATATGCAAAATCGAATATTCTTCGAAATTCCACAAATTCAAGTAAGAAGAATAGGATGTCTTCTTTACAAGAAACTAGGAGTAAAGGAAAATGCAGTACGTAGATTTTGCTGTTATTCTCGACAAGACAGCACTTAATTCACACGATCCAGCAATAGAACATGGCGCTGAAAATTTCAACTCTTTCTGTAGAATTCTACCTGTTAGATTTATTCTGAATTATTTTGATACACAACTTCAAAAGCAATCAGGGGATGTCAGATACTATTGTTCTGCAATATATCGACGAATAAATTTCTTGCTTTTTAAAGGAAGGGTTGAACTATGATTGAAAGTTCCTTTCAAAAACCTGACTGAATCCCAGATGATCACCTGAATGGTTATCATCTCCGGCTAAGGTAGAATAGAATCCCTCTGTTGACCACGTCACGGTTTTCATACTATAGAGAAAATTAATCGTAAGATTTTACACCGGGGGCGGCACTTCTTAGGCTGCAAAAGATATTTATTCAATAGAGGAAAGTACCTCTAATTTACGGTTACTCTGTCCACGCATGATTTCACGCAAAGCGTATATATAGTTCCAATTTATGAGGCCAGTTTTCTTATTCCAGGACTAGAAAAGTTTTCTCAAGATATTGAGGATATGATTGGTTCAAAGCCCGGGTTGTATTGGAGGATTTGTTGGAAGTTCATCAGCCCATCATTTATAATTGTGAGTACACGTGATACTTTCTGTTCAATCATTGTGAAGACGTAAGGGGCGGAAGGACAAAGTTGTAAAGTTTTATCCACAGTTTTTAACTCTTTTACCATTGATGAAGGCACGTCTTGTATTGAGTATTTCTGGGAATTTTCGTTCAATTCTCAATGAATGCACACAAAAGATTCGAAAAAATTTAGATACGTAGAAAATAAATGGATCGTCAAGTCAAACTTTGAAACGTTGCAATTTAATAAAGTTTTATTCTCTGATTATCCTTAATTTTATACCAGTCACTTAAGTCAGTGTTCAAGGATTTGTTAACAGGCAATCCACGCAAGTTTAACCTAGGCACATGATCTCGTGACGTAATTTTTTTTTTTACTTATTTATAAGCAATTCTTGTTTAGGTATGCTTCCTGATTGACGGTATGAACAAAGTTGTTCCCAGGCTCTTGATAACAAAATGTATTTAAGTTTACATTTTAAAATGAATGTATTAGTTCAATGATTATTGAATCTTCCCCAGTAAGTATGTAATAATGAGGTTTATTTTTCTAAGGATGCTTCTGAGCTATACTTTTGCTCTCCTGAGCAGGAGGAATCATAGGCGGATCCAATGATGGGGGGGGGCGAAGAAGGCGTAAGCCTCTCCCCGGTCGCCCGAAAACAAGGAGGAAGAGAGAAGGAAGGAACAGAGGAAAAAGAAGGAAAGATACCTACATTTAGTAATCATTCACGACGACATTTACGCAAACTATATATTAGAGGCTTCAAAAATTCAAGAATTTTCCAGGGGAGATCCCCGGACCTCGCCCCCCCTCCCCCCCTCGATCGATGTGTCTGGATCCGTTCATGGGAAGAAAGAGTGGAAAAGGCACGTTTTCGGAGCTATTGATTAAAATAAATGAAGTTGATGTTGGAGTTAAACGTTTTACTGATATGATTGATTTAAGGGTGTGGTGATGTTCGATTTGTTCGACCACAAATCCTTGGAGTACAACAACTACGACTACCCAGTTTGGGCGGAGCTCGCGGGGTGGGCCTTAGCTCTGTCCGCCATCCTCATGATCCCAATCGTCGCTGCTATTCAGCTTATCAAGACTCCTGGAACACTCAAAGAGGTAATTTTGTTCCATCCACTTCCATTGATCCCAAAATCCATTGAGATAAATGAGTGGCGTATTGAAAAATGTACTCCCGATGTTAATTTGATGTTAAAAAGATAGTTCACGGTCTTTCAGAAGAACCATCGATGCATGGCGATTCGTAATTTAGCGATTTCGGGAGTAAGTTCTTTAGGCCATGATGCATTTTTTTAGGATAAAACATTTTGTCGAAAACGAGAGGTGGTTCTTCAGCACAGGAGAATGTGTCTATCGTCGATCGATCAATGGATGGTTTTTGTATTTCAGAAAGATTCTTTAAACATTTCCGAGCATTGCATCATGCTAGAGTCCGCCAGGTACTTTTATACAAAATTTGAGGAGAAAAAATTTGAAACTGGCATCTCACTGTAATTCAATTTGGCGTAATTTCAGCGTAAAAGGTCTATGGTGACAATTGGATTCCATTTTCCGAACAGGAACCAACAGCATTCCAATGTTGCTAGGGTTGTGCGACTTACATTATGGAATGAAATTACTGAAATCGTGTAAAAAAAGTTCACAAGGTAATATTCGTCTTGAATTCATAGTTTATTGGGAGCAAAGATGAAACTTGTTTCGATGATCAGTCGATAGACGGTTGCGACATTGGAGTGCTCTAGGTTCCTTTTTGCGAAGTGCAATCTAATTTACAACGATGAGTTTTTCCGAGTATTTTCAGCGAGTTGGTCATATGAACTTAGGCCATTTACTCTCTTTAAACGCAATTTCACAAGCGGCAGGGTGTTTTATAAGTATCTGCTTGTTGCGTTGCTCCTCATGCCGACGTTATATTTCTCACTTTTCAGCGATTTGCCTACTGTATCACGCCAGTGGATGAGCATGAAAGCCTCGCAAAAGGAAAACCGGTATCAAGATTTAAGTGCAGGCATTGGCTCTACGTCTGATGCAGACAATAATACAAGTTTCCAGCGTTGTATCGCCAAATCAACTGAGCTCCGATGTGATTGGTTCATTCGAAAAATTTCACACGGAAGCTGCGCCGCTGAGAGTGCGGAGGAAGTCAGTGCGCCTTCATTTGTTCGGTATGCAACACGGATAGTCGTCGAGCTGTAATAGTTGCGTCCAGGCAATTCCATCGATCCATTCCTTTTTCACCTCATGACAAAAGTCTTAACGATGATGCTTGTAAATTTTGCTTGTAACACTGTGTTGAGCGTTACAGCAACATTATTTTTTGACTTCTTAAAGAAATTGCTAAATAACACTGCCACATTATCGCAGTGCAAGCTCTGGGGAAACAGTCGTACGTCTTTTGTGACGCTCGATGTGAATTTTCAAGATGCTCAAATGAGCTGTATTGTCGTCGGCGGGCATTAGGTCTAACAATGAGTCCGGGCCAATTCATTGCGAGCGATTCCCGAACAGACATTTCATCACGGACGATTCCCGAATGAATCTTCGTCCTATCACTTTTTCTAGATGATATAATACGCAGCATCAGTTCGTCAATATATCAGTTGAATCGGGACGTGCAAAAACCGCTAGAGTCCATTTTCCCAGTCTTCAGTTTTTTGAGTTGATAATAATTTTTAAGAGTCGACACAACCATAAAAGTGACGAAAGGACTCGTTTTGGGATTAAGGTAACCCAGAGACTAGTATTAACGCCACTTTCGTGGTTTCATCAAACTCCGAAAAGTATTGTCATCTCAAAAAAACTGAAGACAAGAAAAAGGGACAAGAGCCATTCTCCCACGTCCCGATTCAGTTGTCTTCTCTTTTTTAACGAATGTGGCCCCTAGTTGGTAAATGGACAGTCTATAGTGATGAAGTATCCATGCAAAAACTGTCTGCGACGATTGTTCAGCGTGCAACAGGCTGCGATAAATTGTCCGAACATCTCAACGTCTGACAATACCCTCGACTAGGATCATTCCTCGAGTATTGAGTAATGCCACTATATTAGTTACGCAAATATTTGAGTAGAATATTAATAACGTTTTCGCGATATAAACCCTATAATTTTCATAAAAAAATTTACACGCATTCTTAAAAGTATCATATTAACCTCCCCTCCATGTATACTCCAGCTGCTTCGGTAGCAAAAAATATGTGTAGCTCAACTATCTCATCATGGCAATTATTTACGCGTAAATCCAAGGTCAGTTTAATCCTAACGAATGTTAAATAAGGATTCCACAAATTCTACCTGTCCTTTGAGACTATTAACGGCCCCACTGGATAAGTACCGTCAAGAGAGAAAATTCGAGAAAAAATTTATTTCGAACCATCACACACAAGGTGTCTAAAAGCTGTCGAGAATTCCACGCCCCAGGCGATGCGTGTTTTTTCATACGTCTCAAGTTTCTTGATCTAATTATGACACAAAAAATGGTGAAGTAGTCTCAGCAGGTAAAAGTTGACTCAGGAAACTCAAAGCACCCTTCGATGTATAACCACTAAGCGGCGTCGCGTCGTAAGGATATTATTTCTACCTGTAATCGGCATAAAAATACTCTGTAGACAGGTTTAGGTCTTACGCAATACGCATAGCGGTGCGATTTTCAAAACCTAGCACCATGGTCGACCCTGTTCTATAACCAACCAGCCGTTGATTGTCTTAATTTTATTTTCTGGATGTGAATGGAAAAACGCCCTGTATGACCTCCAGCTAGTTTGAAATCTATTTTTGCAGCGATGGGGGCAATGGTCAATAGTATGTAAGTACTAGTGAGTTTACACAAACATTTTTGGCCACCAAGTCGTAGCTGATTAAGACTCGTAGATTGTGAATAATTGTCTCTTCCCAACATTCGTCTGGGATTTTTAGTAGATGCTACTCCTCCTCATTTAGGAAAATCTGTCTTCCCTCATAGCTACATTACTGTTGCAACTTCCGTTTCTAATGATTGAATTCTCCGCCAAAAGAGGAAGTAGCAGTTTTGACAAAGTAGAGGGGTCATTGATTATTTCGATTATTTGTCAATACAGTTTAACAAATTCTTGGTGAATGATTTTGAGAATGCTCTGGGCATAGTGAGTTTAGCACACTGTCTGCAAAATTCAATCCCTATACAAATATGCAAATGGCTTTTTTGAGATACTTAAATTATTGAACTATTCACTGTGCCAATGTTTACGGCTATGTTAATCTTTTGATAGACGCAGTTTATGAACATGAGGTAACATTTTAATGGACAGAGGAATTGTGGGGCAAAAATATGTTTGAATAAAACATGAACCAGGTTTGAGCCAATTTCCCTCGTAAGGTGGCAAAAATTAAATAGACAAAGAGTAGATTTTCTGATATTTTGTGAGTACACGATTGCAACACTTTTGGTTATTCTTGTTTAAGTTTTGAAAGGCAGTAGTTGTATCTGTGAGAGCTTTTTCATTAATCCTTACTTTCTGGACCTGTAATTATTTTTTTATTCGAAAAAAGAGACAAATAATATTTCTTGGTCTATCATGCATTTAATGTATTTTTTTTAAAGTCTTGAAGGTTCGATTTTTACTCTAAATACTATCATCCATCTTGATGGATGATAGTATTCTCTCTAGTTGATCTCTGATATTTAATCATTTTACTTTGTTTTTAAGCTCGTTCATTGCTGGCAAGTGGCGGGCCGTGTTTCGTGCACCAAAATACAATTATAAACTATATATATTTTATCGTATTTCAGCGTGTAGCTGCGATCATATTTGTAAATAGTTATAAATAAATGCATTATACATACAGTGTAGTTTAAATAGCAGATTTGAAATTATGTAAATAAATTTATTTTGTGAGAGAGCGCTGATGAAGGAGGCGCTCTTTCAATTGGTGCCAATTTTAGCCTTTCATTTATTTCCTCTCACACCAAACGCAAGGAAAACAAGTCGGATGAACAACACGTCTACCTACGCCCCACAATGGAAAGAGTCAATGGGAAAACTCGGACAAATTTGGGAAACTTTAAAAGTTCATTACTCCGTGATTACAAAACGTCGAGGTCTTAAAAGTGGCCCCATCGGTATTTTAGTAAAGTTTACTTTACAAAGCACACCTTAAACTTTAACATTTGAAAAAATACCCATAGAAATTTGCAAGTTTTGTAAACAAATTCATGTCCGACCGCTTCCATTGACTGGATCCACTGTGCGTCCTACGGCTATCAAAGCAGCGTATCCTAATTCCTGAGTCTTTGCGATCATGTGTGATCATCGGCGTAAGTAACTTTGCAGCGTGATAAATTGAAGGGGAATTACTACGAATACAAGTGAATTCGAGCATCACGTGAATCTTGCTTGTCAAAGATACTTGGTCATATTATACTGAAACGTCCATAGTGTTACGGTATTAATTGCTTCATAAAGTATTTTAATTTTCTCAATATCCAAGAATACGACTCTGACGAAATTCAGAGACGTTCTTTAAAACGTCCTAAGTTCATCATCTCTTCTAATTCCCTCACAGAAGTAACACTTCAAATGGTCAGAGTTTAGCAGAGAGGAAACAAGTCGTACCAAGTTGGCCAACGAAAAAAAGGAGTTTGACGTTTTAGACCTCCTTTAAAATTGTACTTTATGTTCAGGGTAAAGCTTAACCCTTGCTTTTATATTCAAAATATTGAATCTAAGCTTTGCATTTTTGACAGGAGAGTATTTACGTCTAGCTGAGCTCAAACTAACTCCCACCCAATGTTCGTATCAAAATGTGACTTGACTCCATTCTACTTAATTCATTCCAAATGATATCTCAGGAAAAAAATAATTTTAATTCTAAGAATTTTTAAAACACATATGAGAGTGTCGTTAATTTGACATGGCGAATCTGTGCATAGGTACTTAATTTTCTTTTCTGAGCTGCACTGTTATTACTGCTTTTCCCTCTTGTTAAGGAAACAACTTCTTATTCATGTCGGTTCATTTCCTCATGATGCTCCTTCCAAGGTTGGTCCTTGGTCCACCGCTCATATCACCTTATGAGTGTTGACTTTCTGCGATTCCAGAAATTTGTGATCAAACAGCCTTTTTTGAGCCAGTCAACCTGCAGGCTGATTATTGAAATTGATAGGCAAAGCTATAAACAAAGAGGACACAGGGAGTACGGAGCTATTCTATTGGCTAGTTTGGGTGGTTATTACGGACTAAGGGAACTAATGATGAACTGACTAAAGGGTCTTTCGTGAGTTGCCGTTAGTTAGTCTATTATCTACCTCCTTTGTCCATTGTAACCACTCGCTCCCACCAATAGGATCATCCCTCCATATCCTTCTTGTATTCTACGTCTATAGCTTTGTCTATCTATTTTAACAATCAGTTTGCTGAGGGGGATTCGTGAGTTGCCGTAAGTTAGTCTATTACCTACCCTATCTGTCCATTGCAACCACCCGCTTCCACCAATAGGATCCCTTCATGTCCTTCTTGTCTTCTACGTCTATAGCTTTGTCTATCAATTCCAACAATCAGCCCGCTGAGGGAGTTATGTGTTTCTTCAGATTCGCACATATAATTAGAGTCACGATTACTCAGAAGTGCCTAATTCTTGGCAAAAATGGCAACGCTGGTCCGGTTTGGACGAATCAGGTCAGCGTCCTCGTCAATGGATCGTAGTCAGACGACGTGGCGCAGCGCCACATCAAGCCTCTATGTTTTCGTCTTCGCTGAAACGATCCGCTGGAGGGAGAAAAATGCAGATTGCATCGGTTGCGAAAGTGGGTCTATCAATGCAATGCGTGAGCCACGCGGCCAGGCGTGCAGGAGACTCCAGCGCGGTGTGCGGCATGATGTCATCCCCACCCACAACTTGAGGTAATGCCAAAGTCGGGGCTCCATCGAATCAGGACTTGGAGGAAACAAAGTATCCGGTAATAAAGAAAAAAAAAAAAAGGAAAAAAAAAATCCGGTATCGGTGTAAGGCATACCGACACCGATATTTTTGGATGTCTAATAAGGAGCATTAGCGATCTAATCTTCGAACTTAAGTTTTCTCCAAAAGTTGACTGATTTTAATTCGAGAACTAAATCCCATATTTTTTAAAGTTTTTTAGCCTTAGCTAAGAAACTTCATCGGGTCAAAAATTCTGAGCCTAATGTTGAATTATTTTTACATTTTTTTCATGTCATGCCACGTTGATACTACGAAGTCGAGGCCAAGGGGTTGTAAGTAAATGCCGGTCATTTATGTGCAATTTTCCCACGAAGATGAAAATGCCTAGCGTGAGTCCATAAACAAACAGCTCGGAACGATATGCATGTACACGAATCGGAGAATTAGGAAAAATAATTCTCCGTCGAAAATCTAGAAGTTCGCCTCTTCAAACAAAAAAAAATTTACAACTAAAAAATGTATCATGATCAAAATACAAAGAAACTCATTTACCTGAGTGAATATTTTGCAACGTTTACAATGTAGAAGTTTATGTTTTATCATATTGTGTGTACATAGTGGCAAAAGTTTGTATAGGATTTGCTTAAACGTAATGTTTCACCATGTCCAATATCAACGGATTCATCGATCTTCGAGGAACTTCATGAATGACGTCATCCTTCGTGGTATGTATATAGTACATGATTTCAGCAGTGATGTACAGCAAGTCACCAATGCGAATATTCGCATCACTGATCGCCGGATTTAAGGTGGAAGAAACCATGTCGTGCAGTTGTGCACTAATGCGGGGATGGCGGAAATCATAGTATTTTCGAAAGGGCGATACTGCCATTAATATTCAAACATTTGCCGTTGGATGGATCTTAATATTCTCGGCTTAAGTATTTAAGATTCGATCATAAAAGCACAATCTCATGACCAGCGCAACTATCCCATTTCCCGCACACATACCTACAACAAATTGAGCAAGCAATCCCGAGGAATAAAAGAGCCAAGTTTTTACCGGTTATTAGTCTTCCTTCTTTTACCTTGACATTGTGAATTCCTCAATATCATCAAGGAAAGTCTGCGAGAAACGATGACATTCCTAATTGGATGCAAAAACGCGCGAGAAACTTGATGAATGCGTTTTTTCTTACCCTATCCCACCTTCACCCGTGACCTTAGATGACTTTGACTTCTGGAACATTTATGAAGGAGCGATCATCGACATCATTCTGTAGATCTTCAACTTACTCTCTAATAGAGTCGTAGAATGTACCTAATGATTACTGACACTCACAATAAAACATAGTAATCAAAAACCGTCTCTAGGGAGGAGTGTCCCGGATTATTATTCTTGAATTATGTAACTAACATATCAAACAGGGGCAAATAATCTTAGTCGGCCGGCGCGGCGTTACGCACCGTTTCAAGAGTACTTAGACGCAATGCGTGACAAACTACAGCCGACAATTTTTTCCAAGTTTTTTCGCATGAGGAACATGCGTGCCTTAGTCAATGCTTCATTTAGTTTGTGCGTTCCTCAGGGTAGCGATTAACTTTTTTTTCTTATTATTTTTTTTTTTTTTAAATTGATTTACTTATTTTTTATTCGAAGTGGAATCTGCTTTCTTGTTCCTAGACTACGAGGGGAGACGCGGAGGTCCCCCCCCCCCCCCATTTTGGCACACCCCGGGAAGGATTTTCAGCACTCCCGGGATTTTACCTCGTTTATATCGCATATCAATAAAATAAAAGTCCCTTTAAAGAGCGTATTAGAGGGAAGAAACCTTGATGGCTCATAAATGGCATTTTATTGGCGTGGTAGTTGTATGTACTTATTCAGCAAAAGAATGAAATTTGGATGATGAGTGATGGATCAGAATAGAAAATTGATCACATTTATCCTTCGGATCCTTTCCTAGGGAGAAATCCTGTTGTTGTAAGGTTCTGCGGAGGGTTTTGGAAAATTTGAGAGAAATCCGAGTCCAGAGTAAAATCCTCGTGAAGCGGCCGTAAATTATCAAGAATACTAATGAATGAAGATGATTACTGTTTACAATTTTGAAATACAGCTCTGATGTTTAAAAAAAATGAAAAAATACAACTTAAGAAGAGTTTGAAACGAGTTACGGCAGATTCCTATCTTTTGGAATTCTATCAATGATGAGGGGGGGGGGGGGTCAGTGCCCGGTCCGGGGCAACCTAGCCCAAGCAGGAGGTCGAATTTCTCTTGAACTCGTGAGGGCAGTTTGCCATCAACTTGAATTTTGTCGCTTCGATCGAGTGTAAAAGCGGCTTCGCGGCGGACTAGTCGGCAGATGGTCAGATCTCAATTAATGTTGCCATATCATAGAAGTTCAGCTTTCAAATTAGCTTAACAGACCTTGTGCATCCTTTAACCGACTCTGAACCAGAAAGTCAGTCTTCTACATATGGTCCTATATTTTGCTGCATTCGCTGCAAAAACCCTCGTGGATATTTAGACGTGTTTAAATCAAAAGGAAGAATATCCAATGTGACATGAGCCATGCTGCCGTGCACTGAAAAAAAATTCTCGGCGGTTTTACCACGGTCCGTTGGTACCTTTACCATCTCACATTTTTTACCAATTATTGGTAATTTTACCAAGACAGACTGGTAAGCCTACCTAAAAACCGGTATTTTTACTGTTTTTTTCAGGTAAGAAAACCACTTTTATTGGTAATCAATTCCCGGTAACTTTGTCATTTTATCCCTGTAATTCTACCACAGTCGATAAATAATATTGGCGTTTTTACCAAGGTCCAGTAAAATTACCAAAAAAGTTCAATAATTTGACGGAGATTTCTTGGTAAAATTACCAATTCCATAAATGGTAATTTTACCAAGAAAAAACTGGGATCAAATAGGACCCTGAATTCTTGGTAATTTTACCCTTTTCTTAGTAAATAGACCGAGATTTTTTTTCGGTGTGCTAAGGAGGAACGCCATATG